CAGTATGACAATTTTGTAAATAAATTATGAAGGTTTCTTTGTCTTTTATAACTTGTGTTCAGTATTAAGTTTGAATAAAAATTGTTTTGGTAATTAAACTACTTTCAAAATTGTTTTAGTAATTATCTCTTAATTTAACTAAAATTCTGGTAAATAAATTAGTAAAATATAGAGTTTAGTCTGTATGAAAACTTTAAAACAATTGAATTTGCATACACTAAGCATATATATTCAAGTAAAAGAATGGATATAAAAACAAAACAAAAAGATCACGCGGACCTTAATGTGGTTTTGTGGTCCTCCCCACCTTCTTCGCATTAAATATGCATCTCCACTTTCTCCGATGCCATCAAAACAACGTTGTAACTTGTACGAATAATTATAAAAACAGAACTTGTAAGAATCCATAATATATCGAAACACAAGAATTTCAAAGACAACTTTTTTTTTGGGCATCATCATAATAGGCGTTCAGAATATTTTAGGATTCGATGTTTCACTATACAAAATTACAAATAATCCATTTGAAATTATGAGGATATGCTAAGAAGATAACTCATATATACAGGAAAGAACTGCCACACTAATATTAGTTGCAAACAATAATCTAAAAATAACTCCAAAGACTAAATGCAACTCTTTAAAAATCCGATACTTATCCATTACAAAAGTACAAATCTTAAACTAAAAAGAAGAAACAAACTAGTTTATAAGATAGAATAATGAACATAGATTAATCAAAATCTAAGGGATGATCAGGTTTCTTCCTTTGCATCATCCTTCCATCTTTCTTCTTCCCCGGTTCTTCTGTGATCGTTGACAAGCCTAATTAAGAGAGAAAACCAATGTAAAATTCGAAACAAATTTATCTATGAAAGATCCAAAAACTTGTATTCATACACATATGTATAAGAAATCGAATATACCCGTGAAGTGATTCTTCTCCTTGAGTATCATCTGTGGAAGAACCCTCGAAGCTCTAGCCTCTTCAAACAGCCACGTGGCCTCCATCTGTTTGCTGATCATTTGAGTAGCGTAGTAAGGGATTTTGCCGCGGAAGCAGCGGCCATTGACGAACATGATACAATCCATTAAGCTTTCTCTTGAAAGCCCTTTAATGTCATAAGCTCTTGACCTTGTCCAAAGACTCTTACCATGTGAGTTCACAGGTTCCGACAAGCAAAGAGCTCTTGTGCAATCACTTATGGCCGCATCTACAAGTCCAAGAAGTAAGTTACACTCTCCTCTATCGCTATATAGAATCATTCTCTTTCTCCTAAGTTTCAGAGGACACAAGCTTATTGCTTCGTTGTAGCATTTTATAGCTCCCTCTATGTCTCCTACACATAGCAATTGGTTTGCTTGCTGTTTAATCAAACTCACTAGAACACTTGTCTCTGTTAGATTTTCTTGATTATCACTCATTAACTTTCTCTCCCTCTTTCTCCTCTCTACTTTAACCCTCCATAGTTCTTTCAAAGCCTTTTGGGTCTTGGGAGTGTATACACAACCTTTCTTTATATTGTAATCCATTAGAAGAACCCTAGTTATTCTATCACCTAGGTTTTGCCTATCGTTAAGGGCTTTAAGCTCAACTAGGTCCAATAGATAAAACAATGATGTCTCTAAGACTTTGTACCTTGTTTCTTGGTCTTTGAGAAGCAGCAAAAGACAATCTATACCCATGTATTGCCAATCATCCGAAGACTGGGAGAGATTACATAGACTCAGTATTATTTCTCTAGATCCAGAGACATGCCCTCTCCCTTTTCTACTATAACAAAGAATCCGGATTAGCCCGATGCCTGCGGGAGACGTGTGGTTAACCAATCCACCCCACATTTGGCTAAGGTCTTTGAGAAAGGTCTTGTTGCATATAAGGGAAATAGACCTTTCCTTGTAAGCAAAGCAATTGAGTAAATGGAGTGACCAGCATTGGAGCTGGCTTGCCCATTCCTCCGCTTTTCGGTCTTCCATTTCTAACCCTCCAAGTCCTCTAGTAAGCAACTCACTGTGATACCTCACTGTTCCTTCTCTTTCTTGAACACTCACAAACTCTTCGTAGACAACATCAACACACGTCGTTGCAATCTCCATGGCTAATCTCACCACTTCATCCTCGTAAGCAGCTACGGCTTCAAACGTCCTCTCGTAGCTCGCCAAGTGACCTAACGCCCTAACCACGACTCTTTGCTCAACCCAACTCATCTTTCCTCTCATAAGCTCAAGCAATGGAGCAATGACACCAGACTCAACAGCTTTCACAGCAAACTCAGGTTTCTTCATAGTGTAAGATCCAATGATATGAACAGCATAGTAAGGAACATACACATTTTGACCAGTCATTACCCATTCTACATCCTCAAGACCTTTCTTGATCAACCTCGTCATACACTCAAAGACCCCCAGAGAGGGTAACTCAGGGTTTTCGGGGTCCGCCATGGCAAATCTCCATATGAAACTGAGTGTGAGAGCGAGCTCTGTGTCGTCTCTTGTCATGTGCATATCTCTCAGAGCTAACTCTAGACATGCTTTTCTAACACAAGGGTCTTTTTCTTCCATGACACAGAAGAAACAACATGGTCTGAAACCGATAACGACGTGGGTCCTTGCCATCTTGTTTGTAGTACAGCAAGAGAAGTGGTCCATGGAAGATCTGAGATTTGCTTTGGTCTTTTGGTTGTTCTTGCTGATTAAAAGAAGGTTTAAAACAAAAAGGGGAAATAGGGTTTCTATGTGATCCAGGTGGATATGCATATATATGATCAAAGTGGGGTTTTTTGTTTATTCAAAAAGTGAAATAAAGTGGCCTAGTGATGTGATGACATCTAGCGGCCGCATGAGAAAGTGAAATGCAATGGTCCTTTTTTATATATACAACTGAAAGAAAAATTTTCGAACGGTTTGTAGTACATTATATTGGTTTCGACAGTATGGTGTAAATTGCTAATCTATGTGTATAACGACATATTTGCATTTGTAAGGCGACTTCCTACCAACTACAATGCAACATTAATCTTAGCTACTTGTTTACCAAAATTTTGAAATTGTTTTACATTATTAAAATTGAGGGTATTTACTTTTGCTGAAATGACAAAATCCTAGACAATATCTGCAAAAAAAACGGGTAACAAAACCGTATATATATATATATTTTTTTTTTGCGGTGATTATAACTAACAGCATGGATTATGTTTTATTTTAAGAAATAGCCTGTCATATTATTTTGAGAAATTTCAAAAAATGCCATTTTTCAAGTGTCACTTTACAAAAATGCCACACTTTTGAAATCGTTACAAAAATGCCACTTTTTGGTAAATTTTTTTTTTCATATTATTTATATTTGGGTTAACTTTGTTCTATTATGGTTAGTTTTGAGTGTTTATGGGATTTTAGGTGTCAAAACATTTTTTTGGGT